ATTCTCCTAGGCTATGCAGGGAATTCCAGCTAAGACCTTTTGACCTTAAAACATGTGACCTTAAAAGAGATTATATTTTTAAAATATTCACCTTCTGTGCTGGTTGAATTGTGAGTTCTGAACAAAGAAGGGCACTGGGGTTTATTTAGAAGGTTGTTCAAATAAACAATTACATTTCAGCAGTTTGCAGTAAAAGAAACAACATTTACCCACTGTACTGGGACTATTCAATCAGCAACAATGTGAAAAAAAACTGTTCTAAAACAGTCCTTAAAAAAGGAAATGCGTTTTAGTAATTCAGTACATTTGATGAGACTCACGTTAATGAATCTGAGCAACTGCTGTGTTTGCTACCTTCAGTTACTGTGAACAACACCCTTCTACATAAAACACCCCACTTAAAGTGGAATCAGATCCTAAGGATATATATAAACAAAAGTAAAGTGTATGCAGAAGAATGAGCCTTCTTGAAAACAGTTATTTATTAACTCTGTCACATCATAAACACTTTCAGCTACACATAAAATCTAAATTGTGCTGTTTGAATAAAAAGCAAAGAGGAAATTTAGATCTATTCTTTCCCCACTGTGACTTGTTCAATACCTCCAATGCAGATTCCTTTTGGTGGAGGGTGGTGATAAAATTTTTCCAGTCTTCTTTAGCAGTAGCACATTTCTCTTGGATAATTTTAGCCTTTTCCTTTGGTAAAACAGAGCACAGCAGTTCTCCTTTGGATGCTACCACATTTAGTTTTTGTTGTCCATTCTCACTTTCTGATAAGAATTCCTAAAAACAGTAATAAAGGAAGCTAATTGGTAAACTTTGGGACCCAGTAAAGGTAAGTGGCACAGAATTTAACAGGGATAAGAACTTATTGTTTCTGCTTGTTAATATGCTAGCTCATCTTCCAGTACATTCTATTTTAATACTGTTCATATTTATGGGATTTAGGGACAACAGCTACTTAATCCAGAAGTTCCAGGCATCTAAATATTGTATATATTAAGACTCTGTATGTTCTGAATTTGATGAGACGATTACTAGTCACTTGGTTGTGCATTTGTTGTGGTTTAGACCGAGGTGGGAGCTGAGTGCAGTGTGGTCACTTAACCACCCCCACTCCTGCCACACCCCAAATAGGAAGGGGAAAAGGGAAAAAAATACAAAACCCCATGGGTTGAGATAAGGAGAATTTAATACAGCAATACAAAAGGAGCAATAAACTACATTAATGAAACAACACATAAAGCAAATCATACAAAGCACAGACCACATCAGCTCTGAACAGAAACGGTGGCATCACCCAGCCTGGCCCAGTCTTGGCTCTTATGTCGTGGGCATGACATCAGCATGGTATCAACTCATTGGCTGGTTGGGTTGTCTGTCCTGGCTGTGGACTTTCTAACTTCTCGTGAAAATTAACCCTATCCTAGCTGAACCAGGACACTATTGTACTTCTTTAAATCTCCACAGCACAGACAGTGATAACAGTTTCATTCAAGGAGCCAGTATCCTGGCACAGGTAACACTAGGAGCCAGGAGCCACTCTGAGGCACACACACTGCTGAAGCCTTGCCCACAGATAATAGCCACAATGGACTTCCAACAAGCATGTAGGCTGATGCTTAGATGCTGAGCAATGTCTAAGCTGTGTGGTTTATCCCTCTGCATCCTTAATTTACCTTCCCTGTCGGAAAGTATTTTTCTTCTTGGAAATCTTGCACAGTGCTGGGGTGCAAGGAGCATATGGGAAAACGCATGTGCAAGAATTATACAGAAATGTAAGGAAACAGCCTGATTTTTAAATTACAGTGTACTAGGATAATATTCTTATAATTTTTAATTATTAAAGATTTTGTGAGCATTTAGGACTGAAAGGAATTTAACACTCATAAACACTAATATGTTATATGGTTACAATATGATTATGTGATACATGAGTACTTTAATATCCATAAAGTTACATCCACATTCAGAAGTAACAGGCTTGATACAAAAATTACTAAGTCAGTCTCAGCTTTGGTGTTAACACCAGAGGTCTCTGCAGAGAATGAAAAGGGTCTGTTAGCTTTGAGATACTCGGTTCAGGTTCTGGCTAAATTAAGATCAAGACATATTTGTCTTGTGACATAATGATGTCAAATGTGTTAACAGACAAAAAATTAACTTTCAACAAAAAGAAAACTCTAAGACTCTAGAAGTCCTAAAGCAGTTAATGCATTTAAAAAAAAAAAAAAAATCATCTGAAGAAGCTTTAAGGGAGGAAAATAAAGTAAGGTCTTGTGCTATGAAGGGTCTGCAGTGATTAGAAAGAACCCACAAGCCTTACCACTGTTGGGAAAAAAAAACAAAACAACCCCAAAACACAAAACAAACCTTGCTAAATCCCTTATATTTAATGTTTTAATAAAATGTTTTAATAGTTTTAATAAAAACTACTAGGATATTTTCCTCTGGCTATTTCCTGTAAACTTATTCTCATTTTGAGGTATTTAAAAATTTGATATATTAATACAGTATTGTTTATACTTTTAAGTAAATTGTTTAAACAACAGAAAATGAATTTACCAAAAGGAGGAGGAAGTGATTTAGGCTTTGGTATTTTCTGAGAAACTGATATGAATTTCTTCTGTTATACTCTCTGATTGAACGTTTAACAAGTTTATTATGTAATTCTCATTTTGCTATTTTAAATTAAAATTACAGTGATATACATTCAAAAAACTATTTATTTCACTTACTTTACGTAAATAAACTTTTAATTTGCGTTCCTTTCCACGGAATTGTTGGCATTTGATTTAGCTTCATGTGAAAAATATTTTTTAAATGCCTGCTCACACTGCATACATTTTAACTCTGTTCTTGCGCTATAAAGGCTCTACTTTCATATATGAGGGAAAATATTTTCATAACTTTGAAGTAATTCCAGGTATTAAGTCTTGATTCTGATATTGTTCTGACTTTACAGGATTCTCCTAGTTTAAAAAAGTATTTTTTTCTATTGTAAAGAAGAAACAAGCAAGGAAAACCATTATGAGACTGCCTACAAGCAAACTGCAGCCCAACAAGTAAACTAAAAAAACTAGATTAAAAAAGACAATAAACTCTTATATTTCCTTGCAGTTAGTTGCCTTTGCTGTTGATGATAAAAACAGCAATAAAAAATAATAATCAACTAGACAATTACATCTGATCCTTATATGAAACTGATTTGGTGTCCCTTAGACTAATATTTTACTGCTATAGAGTTACCTGTATCTTCTGCAGACTTGCTGAAGCTTCATTAATACTTTGAGGTACGTCAAAACATTTGGCTGTGGTGACTTTTGCGTTGACCAGCCACTGCTGGAAGTCCCTGAAAGCCGTCCGAAATCTTTGCTGCAAGATCTGCTCTTTGCTCTGACATCCTTTTGAAGCTTGCAGGCAGAGGCTGGGTTTATCACATCAGGGAAGCAGAAGAGAGGGAGGGAGAGAGTGAGGAAGGAAAGACAGGACTCTGTTAGGTGGCAATGCTATTACTTAGTTATCTGAAATACAATGGTAAGGTTCAGTTATCCTGGATTCCTCCTACCAAATTTAAGCACTTAACTGAGGCACAAGGAAATCCATTAGAAGCTTTCAGTTACTTTAAAGTGAAGCATGTAAATTGGGACATAATCACAGATCTGACAAGTGTGTTACCAGAGAGTGACTTAGTACACCTAAGCATGAGCAGTTTCTGCAAGCCCCTTTCTCTCTCTAGGGACAGGAGGATGCAGGACTATAGAGATTACAGTTCTAAATTCTGCAGCTCAGTTAAGTTTGTAATGTTAAAAGGGATCAATCTGGGTCAACACACCCTTCTTCTGCAGCTACAGAAGCCAAGAGCTACAACCCCCTGCAAGAAACCACAGAATCTTGTGCCTGAAAAGCAGGTGTTACACTCCCAAATAAACCAGCTAGAGTGACCTCAGAGAAAGTGAGAAATCAAGTGAATTCTAACTCCTCCATTTCAAGGAAATGCTTAGTCAAAGAAGAGTAAACTGAAGGTCAAAACTAAGAAAAAGATCTTAAATAGCAGGTGTAGACTGTTTCTCCTTCAGACAGGTAAAACAGAGCCAAACCTCACAGTTTCTTGCAAGGATTCATCCTGTAATAGGTCAGGTGTGGATATACATCACCTGCAGCAGGATTTAGTGGCACAGCCTAGCTTTTAGGAAAAAAAAGCCACCTGACTTGCTACTTTTTACAACTTCTGTTGGCACCAAAATCAAAACACTGGTTCTAATCACTGTAAATCTCTGTTTCTCATTCTAAATTCTAATGAAGTTCCCAAAAGAGAGTTTACACTCACACACGGAAATTATTGACTATAAACAAAATGAATGTGTACCTGTTGTACTCCTTAATCAACCCTGAAACTTTTGAAGAATGAGTACTCAAATCTCTGGAAAATTTACAAAGATCATTTAACTGAGTTTTGATCTCATCTGTCATGTGTTCAGACTTCAACAGACTTTCCAACGTTTCCTGTTAAAACAAATTAACAATGTTGGTGAGTAAATTTTTAAAATTTATATGTTTTGAATAATAGTTTATCAGAATTTAAAATTCAACTTCATTTATGATCTATGTACATTCATTTTCAAGAGTATCTTAGCAGTCAAACCTACAGAAGCTTATTTCTGGAAGCCTCAGCTTAGTTCAAAATGTTCTCAAAGAGCAGTTTAAGATAGAAAATTCATTTTAGTAAATGAGCTGTGGTATTGTCAGTTAGCTGTATACAAGCAAAAGCACATATGATTAGGGAACAGCAAATGATATATAATTATATAATTAGCCTGTTGGTTTAGTATGTTTAGTATGTTCAATAAAAACTGTTTTGAGCTCTATCCAAAAAAATAATTTATGCACAAAGCTAAGCTTTGAACAGCTTCAACTCTCTCACAGAGGGCTTCATAATGTAAAAGTACAGCCGCCTCACAGTAATCCTGTGAGAATAAATGGGTTAATGTCTGTCATTGCTGCACTGAAAAGACTCTTGCCTTGGAGACAGCTAAGCAAACAAAAAAACCAAAATTGCTTCAGTTGTCTTAGCTTACGTCACTGACAGAGGTGTGATAACCACTCCAACAAAAACAGTCCTTGTTGATGTCCGCAGCATCTCCATTGCTGTATCCTGCCAGCTACCACAACATAATGAGCAGTGCAGACTTGGCTCCTCATCTCACTAGAAACTAAATTCTTTAGGGATTCCTCTTAAACTAACAAGGAGAGAAGACAATTTTTCTAGCGAGTTACATTCACCATAGCAGAGTGTCTGCAGTGTAGGCAGGCCAGTGTGCTTGCATGTATAGATTAGATTGGCTAAATTTAAGCATCAGCCTGGAAGAAATGTACAATATAAACTTAAGAAATAGGTATGTGAAAGGGAAGACAGATTTGAACAGGGACATGGAAGTGGGATGAGGAAGTACCTGAATCATGTTTCTGAACATATAAAAAAAGGGTGGTTGAAAACATACATGGCAAAAAGTTTGTAATAATCTATCAGAAAAAAAATGACTATTCAGGAAAGGTACAAATGATGTACATGAAAATATATGCAGAAGGTTTTCAAAATATCACAGTCTACCTTACAGAGACAAAAATACTCACTGAGCATATTTTTCACTGTGAATTATTAACTCTGCAATAAATAGATATTCATTTATGTAAAACAAAAGTAAAAAGAAATATTAGCAAGGATCTACCAAGCCAATCAAGAGCCTTAGTAAGAACAGTAAATGGACAAAAGCTTGGGAATCAGTTCATGTGTCTGCTGCCCACAAGCAACTTTGTGCTTACTTCATATCCCTCTTCCTGAAAAAATATGCAGAACTGTGAAGTTAATATTTGTAGATATATATAATGCATTTCTGAGAAATAAATAAATTTCTTAAAAAATATAGTGCTTCTTTGTAGTACCTGAATGGCCAGGAAGAAAAAAATCAACAATCCATTTTGAGAAAAACAAAACTACAAGCATGCATTGTTAATATAATCATAGCTTGATTATATTAACATTACTGAAATCTGTTTACATTTATAGATCACAGGGAAGGTCTGTAAAATTAAGCCTAGAGACATTTCAGATGTATTATGTGTACAAACTTTTATGTGTTCTTGTGAGCATGAAAAAATATTCTGTCACAGTAAATTTTCAGAACTCATCTGATTTACATTATTCATGCTTGTATTATGGACTTTATCTGCTTTGAATCACACACACACCAGAAATCTCTTCAACCACAATTAATAGACACTTGAAAGAGTCACACTGCCTGTTTGTTTCAATGCCATAAAAAGTAACATTTGAATGAAGTAATTACATAATAGCAATGATGGTTAGGAAAAAAAAAAAAAAAACAACATTAACTACTTTTTGTTTATCTTGCTTTATGTTAAACTACACACAGGCCTTTTGTGGAAAACATTAAGAATAACAACACAATGGCTGTTACTTAAGCACAGGATGTCACAAATTATATAAGGGAGGAATCACCATAATGAAATACTAACAGCTTTTTTTTTTTTTTTTGGCACATGGTCTAAGAGTAGCACATGTTTAGAATTGCCTAGTTTCAATGAAATTTTTCTAATAACCTAACTCAGTAACTACTAAAAGATTATTCTGATGACACACAGTCTTAGGCATAATCTATTAACAGAAACATTAACTGGCAAAACAGGGTACATTTAACTTGGTATTTTTTCTTATGGAAACACTTATAACACTGTTGCAGTGACTTTGAATCTGAGAATTTCCAAAATAATTTGGTGAATTTCAAGTGCAAGATCTGTTGCTCTTGTGTTGCACATATGTGAAGGAACAGATCTTGAGTACAACCTAGTAACAGAATGAGCTTGCTTATTCTGAGAATTAGGATATGCATTTTTAACTCATGGCCTTGGTTTACATGGCAACAGAATCACTACAAGACAATGGAAATGGAAAGCTGCAGTGCTATTTTATGTTCACAATAGGATCTCTCCCTGGGGTCCAGAAATGTAGGGATTTCTGTCACATAGGCCTCTAACTATAAATAAAATTACATGGTAGGGCTGTGAATATTGTCTTGAGATGCCTCTGCATTTTCCTCATTAGCCAAAGTTTACAACTGCCTAATCTAAATGAAGTGTTTTTACATAGAGGTACAGTACACACACATTGTATATACTACTAACAAAAGCAATATCCTTTGAGTTCAGTACTTCTCCATTTATAAAATAAAACAGTGTCTGGTAATTGTTGCTGTATGTTGATGAAAATTCCATGTCTTCCTTTCCTTTCTAAAAACATATAAATAAAGAAGACTTTGCATATTTGTAACATTATTTGCTCCAATATAATGTCAGCTTTATCGCTCCTACAGCTACATACTGGCACTCAAGCAAGCAGGTCCCATAAATCTGTGTCAGGGAATTCTGTGAAAGGGGAAGCCACAGAATAACTTGGCACAGACTTTGGAGGAGGAGATTTTTAATCTCACTTCAAAGAAAAGGGTTTGTTTTTGTTTTTTGTTTTTGTTTTTTAAATATTTATTCAATCAAGGGGTCAGAAAGCAAGCATCACACACCTCTCTTCCTTTACTGAAACTGCTATGTTGCAACACTACCCTGAAAGGTAGCAATGATACCCTGTACTTTTTCTCAACATCTGTGAGTCACTGTAGTCAAGATGCATAAAACAATATATCTTAATTGTTGTGAATATAGATATTTATATACGTGTGTGTGCAAGATGCAAACGTGGAATTTTTTGCTAGAGCACAATCAGGAACTGAACCTCCCTACTTCTCTGAATTCCACTGCATTCCATAGTAAAGCAATTAGCAAGTATACTGGTTTCCAGTATAACTTCTTTAAATATTGGACAGGGTCTAAACATGCATAATGTGACGGATATTTCAAGAAATGGAAAGGGTGAGATCACTACACTCCAGACAAATTATAAGTAAGAAATGGCTCCAACTGCTACTTGGCTTTTAGGAAATGCTTCTCATTTCCCTGAGCAAGTGCTACTCTAGACTGAACGCTGAGCAACTTGGAAGAGATGTTCAGAGCTGGTGTGCGAGCTCCTTTGCTTTCTCAGAGGCAAGCCCTGTTTTTAACACCCAAGATCCAGGCAGCATCTGCAGAGCCTTGTACAGCAGAGGCCAAGGAGAGAAATGTCTTCTGTAAACGCAGTTTGCTGCGATTACGGTTCCAAAAAGAGTTTGGAAAGTTTGGATTTGTTTTTCTCAAACGGATTTTACCATTTTCTCCCCGACAGTCTCTCCCGGCAGAAGTTTTCTCTCTGCCCACGGTAACCGTAGGCTTCCCCCCGAAAAGCTGCTAGGAAAAGAGGCGTGACCTTACCTTCTCTTTGCGCCAGCTTTCCGCGACCTCGGCGTCGGTGTGCCGGCTGTCGAGGGGTGCCAGGCTCCGCGCCCAGGCGGCCAGCAGCCCGCCGAACCGCTGCACGGCCTCCTCCAGCT